AGAATGGTTTCCCATAGGAAAAGGGCAGAAATAGTTGTAGTCTGGAGGTGAACTATAACAGTGGTGGATAAGATAAATGCCTGTATTTATTGGGGTTGACGTGAGAAGCAAATAATACAACATATATAAAAGCACCTTCAAAAAATAGAAATTGTTATACACAAGGAAGATATTATATCAGAAATCTTAATAGTGAAAAAGAATCACTGACCAAAAAGATTTGGGGCAGACTTTGCTTGGTCTTATTCACAGGAGGAAATTTTGAGAGAAAATAGGGAATTTGTAATGTCTGTGAAAACATTTTTATTTTAAGCTCAATGTGTCACTTGGCGGAATGTTTTTTTCAAACTTTTACACTTTGATCTAATGGAAAACAAGTGTGTTTTCATTTAATAAACACAATGAAATAAAATAAACAAGGTGTTAGAGCATTTCTAAGTTTCTGGCTTTTTTCTTAAGTTCAAAGTCCAGACTCAGAAATAAATAGAAAAAAGTAGTAACTGCACATATTATACCTCAGTTCAATCATATTTTCAGATTCGCTTGATAAACTAAGAGACGGAGAGTGATAAATAATAAAATGTGTTAAGAGCATTAAATACGAATATTTAATAAGTTTTTATGGCTGAAGTTCACCGGCATTTTGGATTTTCTGAGGGCACTTTGGCTATTCTGCCGATTTGTTTTGTAGAAGCCTGGTGTTTTAAGAGTCAGACCTATCAGTGGTGTCTACTGCTTAGCAAATATTGCATTTCTGAAAGCTATTTTGTTTTCTGAGTTACCTGATAGATTTTAACTATTATAAATAGAAAACACAGCTTATTTTTTAGGATAGCTCTTTACGCTTTCCTTCCATTTTCTTGGGTGCCCAAATGGTTCCTAGGGTTCACTCCATTTGGCAGATTCATAGGGAAAGGTGGTGCATTTTCTGTTCTTTCATTCCTTGGGGTGCAGTACAGTTTTTGTGGCCAATACCAGCCTTTTAATTAGTTGTCCCTTCCTTCTTACTACTTTTGTTGTATGATGAGGGACCATTAATCATTTCTGTTACATCTTTGGGCCAACTCCCCAGTAGCATTAAGTATTGCCTTGATCAGTACAAGAATTAGTTCGTAAGAGAAAAAGTACAGATGATTAATATAAAAACAAACAAAATCTCAAGCAATTTAAAAAATTGATGCAATTTTTTATTTATCAAACTGGAAAAAATTAAAGTTTTAACTTTGTCTCCTTTTGGAGATTAGTGGTGTCGTGATTTTTATAAAAACGTTGGCTATGTTTTACTGTCTTGAACTTAAACTTCACCCACTAAAACAGTCCCTATCAAAGTTTTGAATATGTTTCCCTTTTTAAACTCTAGAAAAATCTAGGAAATCCTGTCTTTGGTGAGGCAGCATCTGAGGTTCAGTAATTTCTTCACTTTCATGTTTAATTTTCTTCTGTTAAATTCAAATAAAAATAAATATTTTTTGTAAATAATGAAGGATTCTTTGTGTTGGCAGGGCGGGCGTATGATTCATACTCTGTAGCCATTTAAAAATCAGAGTTTCATGGCATGTTTGTGACATGACATGAAGTGAAAAATGCAGCACACAAACCGTACAAACAATACGATCCCAATTTTGAAACATATATGTTATGTACACTAACTTACAGAAGATACTTTTTTTCGTCTCTTGAAAAGACTTTTAAATAACTTCTAAATTATCATCTGGCAACATCAGTCTCCTTTAATTAACATGCACATTTCTTTTTGGAGGACACATTCAATCCATAACAGATACTGTGGGTATCTTGCCCATAGCGTTTGGGCCATACCACTTCAGTGTATGCCTCCTGACTTCCAGCTATAAGTATCGGCATCTGTTTGCCTGCAGGTTGTTCAGAAGCCAGGGAGGGCTCCTCTATCTACCAGAAGTGCTAGGGAATTACAGGTAGTCCCCAACTTACAAAGTATTCACATTACAATAAACCACAACTCATGACTTTTTTTTCTTATCGTTAGTAATATGTACTACATACAATGTTGCACTTAATTCGCTGATGTTAGCATATCTGTAAGTTTATATATAATATTTCCAACCCCCAGAGACATATATCAGATTTATGAAGATACTGATAATAAAAAGGCAATAATAATCAAAACAAAATAGTATTCGACTTATGTCAGAACTGACTTACGTCATCTAAACGGAACCTTGTTGTAAGTCGGGGACTACCTGTATGTAGTACCATCTTCCCAGATTAGCCTTTAACCAAAGTCCTATCCCCTCAGGTGTGATGAGTCTGAGGTATGCATTCTACACCTTTCCCAGAGCTTCCCCACAGCAATTAAGGTTCAGCAGCCTATAGTGTTAACCAGCTTGATCAAAAAAAAAAAAGCAAACCCAAACCCATCGCTAATTCCGACTCACAGTGACCCTATAGGAAAGAGTAGAACTGCTCCATAGGGTTTCCAAGGCTGTTAATCTTTACGGAAGCAGACTGCCACATCTTTCTCCCGTGGAGCAGTTGGTGGGTTCTAACCACTGATCTATCACTTAGCATCTGAGTACTTAATCGCTGCGTCACCAGGGCTCCTCTAACCAGCTTGATAGCACACCTTGTACTGACTGCCCGCCCCTCCCAGTCTTATTTCCCCACTCTACTATCCGTGTTGTCTACACCTCCCAAATAAACCACCTGCACCAGAATCCTTGTCTCAAGGTCTGCTTCTGACACCATGCATAACAACTCCGTGTTTAAAAGCTGATTGGTTACCTGAAATGCATATTTGATGTGGAAGAGTAACGTGTCAACTATGCATCAAAAACATATAAAAAAGAAGATACCCTTTTCAAAGTTTAAGTCTTTATCACTAGTATCATGATATAAGGCAATTAACCAAACTGTTTCTACTTAGGAAATAGACAACTCTTCCATCTGCTATTATATCAAGTCTTTATTAAGAAATAAAGTGCTCAGTATTACACATTAATGGAATTCTCGATTGTCGAGAAAGACTTTCATATGTAACATCTTCTTAGTAATACTAATGCAGAGGAGAAGATGGTAGGGAATTCTCCATGACTAAAGAAGAAAAAAAAATGTACCTTGTGGGTAAAAAGTAAGAGTTCTGCAAAGTTTTACATGTGAAATGACAAAGAGTATAATAATAAGCATCATAAAAAGACTTTCTAGTGACCATAATTGATATATGGCACATGGTCAACACACATGGATACCACATAATGGCTGCACTTCAAATTGAAGTTTGTTTATACGTAACAACATGGTACACACACATAAATATGTACACTCAATATCCCTGGAATGCAAACTTCAGTACCTAGTAATAAAGAACTTTGTGTAGCATATTCAAAAGAAAGTGAGGATGGAGATGAAGCTGTGGGGAATAACTGTTTAAAAAGAACCCAATGTGTTTCACTAGAAGCCAGCCTAGAAAGACCTGCTTGCGTATGTTTTTACTGAAGAGTTGACTGGCACGTTCTACCAGTTAAATGAACAACCTGCAAATTTTAAATATAGCAATAAAAACAAAGGCCTCTCTTCTATTGGTTCTCCAAGTGAAGGTTATTCACCAACACTGCATTCTCTTGCTTGTCCCATCAGCTCTCAAGAGATCACCATACTCAACCTTCTTGAAAAACAAGATTTCCATTTTTTATTGGGAAATAGATTTTTTTCTCCCACAAATTTGGTGAGACACTTCCCTGATGGAAAACATACTGCTACAAACTCGAACTTTGGCTAAATTCTGATAATGGATGAACTTTCACTACCAAAACTTCCTTTTCATTAAACTGAGCTCCATTTAGATTGTAAATCTCAGTTCTGAAATACAAATCAAGAATATTTGAATTCTACATTCTTAAATCATAATAAAACTTTAGTTTTAAAATACTTTGATGTGAATTTAAAAACTTCTTTTAAAACTTCAAGATGAACATATTCACCGAGTTAAAACTTTTAATGCATACTAAAAATTTAGGAAGTTGGTCTTATTAGATTAGTTGTAACATTAAAACTCAGTAGAAAATGAGTTAAGCCACATGGGAAAGAGAAATATATGGATAAATCTTTATACCAAACTAATCAAAAACTGTTGCCATCGAGTCGCTTCCAACTCATAG